AAGTGACTATTAGTACTGATAAAGGACCAAAAGAAATATAATATCCCTCGGTTGTGTAGCCATCTACTTTGTTTTTCACGGCCGGAAAATCAAAAATCACACCAAAAACAATTCTGTAAAAACTAGCCGTCCAAGATTTTTAAACAAGTGACTATTAGTACTGATAAAGGACCAAAAGAAATATAATATCCCTCGGCTGTGTAGCCATCTACTTTGTTTTTCACGGCCGGAAAATCAAAAATCACACCAAAAACATTCTGTAAAAACTAGCCAAGTCTCGATGGAGTTGCTTGTTTATCTCTAAAAAGTAATAAAATCTAGACAAAGTCGTGCCAAGTCTAAGGTTCCTTACTGCGAGGTCTTTATTATTATAGTTAATGTTGTGTGACTTGGCCATTAAAGGGTACACAAGAGTTCAAAACCAGGTGTTACATGACACCATTGCATTGCATTGACGATGGGAAATTGCCACTTGGAAAGCGTTGATTGAATTACCAGTCAATTGTAGGCTTGATAAAGTTGCGTTTACACGTAATGTTGCATGTATGAATGCATCGGTGCAATGGTGTCATGTAGCACCTGGTTTTGTACCCTTCAACGGCCAAGTCACCCAACATTAACGTAATTAAAAGTAACAGTATGATGTCAATAGTTACTGCAAAAAACTAGTAAGTACGAGTCGGAATCACACACGAAGGGCTTACGTGTCATCGTCCAAGATTAAAAACAAATGACTATTAGAACTGATAAAGGACCAAAAGAAATATAATATCCCTCGGCTGTGTAGCCACCTACTTTGTTTTTCACGGCCGGAAAATCAAAAATATTTCCGTCCGATTTTACTCTTATTATTCGAGTTATACTGTATATCCAGGCTTCACTTATGTATTAAATCAACCCTGAATAGTTTCTCTACAAATTTATCTATATATATATTAGATGTGTAAATTAAAAACCATTACTAAAAATGATAAAATGGAAAATATGAAAAATATAAATAATATTCTCAACTCGTGGCAGAAATCATCCATTTACACACGCGAGGGGATATGTAAAATAAAATATTATTAAATTACAATACATATGGTATTTCATCCACAGAACACAGAAAGAGGTTGTTCTGTGGTTTTATCAATGAATAAAACAAACATAAAAAAGGTTTACTCTGCTGCAGACTTAATAACTCCTCATTTATACATTATCCTACTGTTATTCAATAAAATAAAGTTTGAAAACTAGTCCAAGCACATTATAATATTATAAATGTGACAGTTTGTTTACTCTGCTGCAGACTTAATAACTCCTCATTTATACATTATCCTACTGTTATTCAATAAAATAAAGTTTGAAAACTAGTCCAAGCACATCCTAATATTATAAATGTGACAGTTTGTATGTTTATGTGTTTGTTACTCACTCACACAAAAACTACTGAATGGATTAGGCTGAAATTTTGTAGGCACATAGTTTATGACCTGGATTGAGACATAGGATACTTCTTATCCCGGTAAAATGTTTAGTTTTTGTGGGATTCTCAAAAAAGTAAAGCTACGCGGACGAAGTCGCGGGCGGCCGCTAGTTATTAATATAAATGCGGTAGTAACTCCGTCTCTCAAACTTTTGTAATTTGCATAACAAGAGTTTACGCATGTGGTTTGCATAGTCTGTTTCTGGGTTTGCGGATCGCCTAGGTTTCTTTCCTTTATTATTCAATGAGTCATAGAATGGTCGACTTTATATCAGTATTTCACTAGTTTCATCGTAACGCTATCACATACACACAAGTAACAAAGCATACGATCAAAACAAACATACTATTAATTGATCTGTTTATCTCTGTCATTAATATTCGTTATCGTGTTAGGGACAGGATAGGGCCGATAGGGCAGGGATGGCGAACCTTTACATATCAACGTGCCACTTTTTTGTAAGATATGCTTAATGAGGGCATAGTCGTGACATCAAATGATTTTGAATTTGTGATTATCGGGAAAATAATAAATATTAAAAACTCAAAACTACATTTTGAATTTTTTCAGTTATATGCGTAATTAAAATTAAAATAAAATTAGTATGACTTCTGTTGATTGGCGTTGGGATCACTTGCGTTCGCTCGTCATATACCTAACACCTACTTCCCACTTTTCTTCGCAGTACATAAGGGGCTATTCATTTATTACGTAAGGCGATTTAGGGGGGGGGGGGGGTGACCATCTCATATTTTTTCTTGCAAAGGGGTGAAAGGGTGTCTTAATAGTTCTTACGTAAGATCACAAAAATGCGGAAAATAAAGATTATACTTTGAAAAAGTAGTTTATTACTACCAAAATAATAAAAATTACTAGCACCTGTGAAGGTACAAATAAATATTCCTAAGAATTGGTACTTACAAAATAAACATTAGAACAAATCAAACGTGTAGGTTCTCATTTATTCGTTAAGATTCTTACGTAATAAATATGAAACAGGTGGCTGTTGGACTATTCAAATTTTTTTCTTACATAGAGTGAAAAATTAGCTAAAATAGTCTTACGTAATAAATGAATGGCCCCTAATGAATTTTGGGATCAGTGAGGTGCCCAAAATGTTGTGCCGCATGCCATTGGTTCGCCATCCCTGCGATATAAAGCTATGATGATGATGTAAAATTTACGTTAAGATCACAATTCATCAAGTAAACGTTTTAAAATTACGTAAAAATATAAAGAGATAGCAAATACGTAGTGGTCATGTGATGGCGTAGAAAGCGCTGCAGCAGCGAGCGTGACGTCATTTAACCTCGAACTGTCGAGACCATACGTTTCGCGAGTTTTAATAAGACTTATTTATTTTCTCGTATGATAATGAAAGGCGTAACGGAATAATCCGCGTTATGAGTAACAAATGTTCATAGTTTATTTAAAAAGACAAATGACTTAAAAAGGTTATAATATTAAGAGCAAATTTCCAGCTGAACATCCAAAGTAATTTGAGAAATTATCTTCACTGCAGCCCTGGCAGAGTGAAAGATACGTTTGCTCTTAGTGTCAGACGGCAAATGGCGCCAAAAAGCCAAAGACGATTACTCATAAAAAAGAAGACAATCAAATGCACAGTCAGACAGCATAATCAATAGTAATGGGTTCCTGTTACTCTTCCTGTGGAATGATGAGGAAATAATGGATATTATGAGGATTTTAGGGAAACAAATCTGGTCTTATTCAGCACCAAGATTGACTAGTGTATTTCGAAAAACAGCAACAATAATATTGAAAGAATAAATAATTGCCTAACATGAAATTATTTTTAATATATTATATATTCTTTTTGAAAAGAAAATATAAGTACTAAGTGAGCAAAGGATTATTGCTATCACGGTAGTCTATGAAAACTTCTACTCCTACCTGATACAGTGCTCGAGATACATACATATACAGCCAGTAAGCCAAAAGATGGATTTGTGATTTGATTGTGATAGAGTCCCTGTTAAGCAGATGGCGAGGAGTTGACTAACTATTGACTATTTTTCGCTCAAAACAACTTACAATAGACAAACATTCACTGTAAAATAAACAGATCCATATATACATTAATAGTTGATCACTGACTGTTTACACTGTCAGCGAGAACTCTCTCTACTAGTTTGTTGCTGTACGACAAGAGTTATTAAATATATCTTTTAATTTTTTAAGCATTTAACTGCTAGATGTTTAATTCTAAAGAAAAGTTTACTAGAATAAAATTCCATGCGGACCAGGCAGCAGAAGGGACTCGAGGTATTAATGATAATACTCGCTCAGCGATAATGGTTCAGCAGAGGTCTCTTGTCTCAAAACGAGCATGTGTGCATTTTTGCTCAGGATTGTCTCCATGGGTGAGCGGCGCACGTAATAGCCCGTCGTACTTGGACATTTGCTTATAGTGCAACAATAAAACTATCAGAACAACTTACTTCCTACTGCTCACTAACTTGTTTTTGGTTTCTAGCTGTATTTGTTTTTTGTTCATTGTTGGTGATGGGACAAGTGATTTATCTTTTGTGTACACAAGCCTAAAAATATTGACTTGGGGTGTTAATGATTATAGCAATATACATCATAAAAAGAATATTGACATTTACATCCTTGAAATGTTTTTTTAATAATTGCTACCTATAATATAATCTTACTATAACAAAAAGTTAGATAGTATGGTACAGTATAGTAAATATTATGAAGTTAATACTTGTCAGAAACAAACTCATTACATTGTTATGACAATGTTATTATTACTTTAAATAATCTAACCATTACATAGTGGTTATAAATTTGTCAAAACTTTTTGATATTTTGATTAAGGTAAGCCTATACATGCATGCACAGAATCACATAATAAGAGTTAAAATATGACAATTATTTTTGGCCTTTAGCATATATATAAAAGACAATTTGCATCCAACAGTATGATCAATCAATCAAAATAAACTCAATCTGTAAATGCAGTTCTACTTATTTATTAAAAATAAAATGATTTCTCCTTTCACTAAAATATCCTGTCTTCAATATTTAATATATTTTCCCTCCGTGTGACAAACCCATGGGAAGTCCTGTATATATAGTTATATATCAGTGATACTTGTGCAGCTCCATTCCCCCAAGCCTTATGGACTGCCTTATGTAAGGTTATATAAGAAATGAATTTTCACTTTAGATGTGTGTTCTGTGCACACATTTTTTTTCTGTATAAAACTGGAATTTATATGGAATGAAACATTTCCAATATGGAAATTTCCATGGATTAAAGCAATAGAAATTATACTGTTCTGCTATTTAAATATCTGTCCGTTATCATCGTCTCAGAAAACAAACTTATCTTGATAGCACTGTTTCAAGACTGTTTATTTAGATGTAAATTTAGCATGACTTCAACTGTTCCTATAAAAGTCAAATCTTGTAAAAGTTTACTATTTTTAAATTCATTTCTTTTAATCAAATAGGGTATTAATAGAAAATTAAAATGAACTAATTAAAAAGTATACTCACTCACTATTCTCCTTTGTCTTTTCAACATGCTTCTTGATGTCAGCGATTGAAGAATCCAATCTGTTTAAAAATTCGTCAAAGGTCTTTTTTTCATCAGGACTGCCAGGGGAGAAGTCTCTTGTGGGCATTCCAGCTATGGAAGCTCGATGACTCGGCAGAGGTGGCTCAGTCACCCTCTCTCCATTCTCATAGAAAGGAGAATCTTTAGTCACAGGAATCAGTAAATACTCTCTCAAAAACAAACTGTCTGTGGCGAATAACCGATTTGCTCGCCTTATCTTCTCCATCTAAAACCGTCAAGGGAAGTTGAGAAACAGTTAATATCCATTACTTCATTAGACAAACAAGATTTAATAACACTGTTAAAAGAAATTCATACACTTACAGTTACACCATATTTTAGGGCAATTCCCTGTAAGGTATCGCCTTTCGACATCACATGTTTTATGTATTCTTCGTTCCTTTTCATGTGGTTGCAAGTGCTTCCATATTTTTTTAATGGTCTAGCTGAGTCTCTTATTGAAACCCTTTCGTCGAAGAGACGTTCCTCCTCCATTTTTGACGTATTATAAAATGACAGCATTGTAACTGACTGAAGTTCCTACGAATGGAAGTGCAATGAACTATTTATGCTGGGTAGACACTAGCCTCGGACCAACCGATTTGTCCGGTTCGTGCTAGGAAAAATTGGAATCGATTCTGAAATTGTTCTCTGAACCTAAAACTAAATTTCACAACAGTGCATCCTTGTCATTCTCTTAACAGAATGAAAAGGAGGGACCGATGTTAAATTAAGTTTAAAAGCCGTGCCAGAATCGACACCAATTTCTACTTGGCGCCTATGGCCGAAAGCTTATCTATGGAATAAGATTTGCGTACATCTGAGACACCACTGGTGTCGTTCCTGGCATGATTCTCTAAACTTGAACCTAAAAACATAAGTCTCTCCTTTTCGTTCGACAAAGATGTACGTAGAGTACGACAAAGATGCACTGTTGTTAAATTTTAGTTTTTAAGTTTAGAGAATCATGCCAGAATCGACAAATTTTTAGGTTTAGGGAATCATATCAGAATCGACCCCATTTTTGTTAAATTTAAGGTTTACAGAATCATGCCCCAGTCGACACCACTGTTGATTTTACAATAAAAACGTAATCTAACTAATATATTGGTGTCGATTCCGGCGTGATTCTCTAAACTTAAAACTAAAATAAAAATCTTACTTTCCTTTTCATTAGAATGACAAGGTTACACTGGTATTGATTCTGACACGATTTTCTAAACTTAAAACTAAATTTAACATCAGTCTCTCCTTTTCATTCTGTATGAAGAATGACAAGGATACACTGTTGTCAAATTTTCGTTTAGGTTTAGAGAATCATGCCAGAATCGACACCATTGTTGTCTTTAAGTTTAGCTTTAGAGTATCATGCCAGAATCGACTCCATTGCTTACTAAATCTTGTAAAAGCACACCAATCTAACTTACTGCTTACAAAAATTTAATTGTGATGTGACTGTTTTTTTTTATTTGCAGATAAATAATAATGGTTGTTTACAGAACAAGAATTGCAGGGTATTTTTTTACTACTAACAAACTCTTTGTATGCTAGCCAAATAATGTTAAGGCTGACTTTTTTTGGTAACCAAAATTATTAAATGGCATACCAAATAATAATTATGCACATTGCGCACAATGTGCATAAAAAGGGGGTGGGTACCACATGCTAAACGTGTGGGATAAAGTAATTATTTTTGTATCCATAATATCATCATCAGTCGCCGACCTCCGTGGCCGAGTGGTTTGTACGCCGGGTTTCATGGTGACGCCGACTTTGCGACGATTCTGCCGCACAATTTTTGCGCACAGAGTCAAGTGTAGCAAAACATGTCATGTATGTGGAAAAAATATTGGAGACTAGCGCCATCTAGCTAGTAAAAGTTACTCAAACTTCTCATGTATAAAGTTGAAAATAAGACGGCGGTCCAAACACAGATGGAGCCATGAAAACTTTTAGTAAGATAACTAGATGGCAGCATTATATGGGTACGTATCTCCAACTCCACCTCTTCATTCTTTCATTCAATTCAGTAAAACGACAGTTCTTACATACATACATTCATTCTTCATTCAGTGTCACATTCGATTTTGAAGGGACCGTTTGTCTCATTCGGAACGAAATATTATATTTTTCTAGGATTTATGCTATTAACATTGTGAACTTATTGATATACGACGTTATTCTTAGTGTGATTCTTGTGTGGTGTTGTAATAATTTTAAAAATAATAGTTTCAGTCAGTGTTTTAATTTTTTTGTACATTTTATCCCACTCCGTATTTGTGTACACATGTGATCGATATAATTGGCGAATTTTCCGTTTTTGAGGGTACGTATGACTAAGAGTTGTTTTAATTTATTTCGTTAGAAGATTATTTGCGTTTAATTCCTTTGCTGGCATTGTGATACGGCTTGATTTCCCTGTGGCGGCGCACAAACCCGCCCGCCCCTGATCGGCGCACCAGCGAAATATTGCGAGGGTTACATTATGACCCAATACTAAAGTTGCGAGACGTTTTTTATTACAGTGGGGAACTGCTATTTCTCGAATATGGACTAATTAATTATAAAAGCAACGAATAATTTTTAAACTGTAGTGTAACTTATTTAGTTGGAGCACGCACTCACAGTATCCAAAATTCGCAATTTGATTCTTATTTTTGCTAGGGGTTTTGATAGTAGAATTTTGTGAGTGCTTTAAAAATAGATCTTTAGAATCTTTCAAACTTGAGCCTGGAGGAATAAAACAATCAATAAATCAACTCTTTACTTGTTTACCTATTTTGTCTACATGTTGTACTGCACTACTAGTTGCCTTGCTGTTAACTAGAACAAATTTGAAAAGAATATTTTATTATACTGATTAGGCTCAAAAATTTATTCCCCAACCATAATCACCAAAAACATAATTTTATAATGTGTAAGATTTTATGCCAATATAAGATTTAAGTCTTAATTATTAGTGGACGAAAGTAGAATGAAGAAATAATTATTTATGGAAAAATTTCCACCCACATGGGTGCCGCATACAGTGACAGGTGCAGGTATGAATGTTAACCTGATACCTGGACTGAGAGACACTTTTTTCTGGGAGAAATTGTTTTAAGATTTATCAATGAAGCAGTTAAGAACGCAACGCTTAGATTAAAGTGTAATAAAACATTTATATAATTGGTTACTTATACACTGCTTAAATAGCTGAGAGTGGCACCAAATAGACACCTTTTCAACATCAAAGAATCAATGCTACTCTTTGACACAAGACTTCAATAAACAGTTAACATTAAGAGATACATGGATAAACTACTATGAATAATTGGTTCAATAGTAAACGAAAGATAATATGTAAATGCATACTAACATGAACCAATACAGACATGCATCTAAGTTTGTTTTTGCAAATTAACAAAATGTTTTTGTAATTCTCTAAAAGATTAAAACATGAATGAGTGGGATAGACCAATTGATAAATTACAGCTACATGAATTAGAACTAGGAAATGGATCTTTCTTTCCTTGTTAGAGATACAGAAATAGTTTGGGGTGCTTGTAAGAAATAAATGAATATGGAAGTATGAGTGTATCAGGATACATAAAATAAATTATTGTTTTGCAGTATTAAATTTAATTTTCCATATTTTCAGTAATAATATAATATAAAGGATTTTAATGAGTATTATAATAAATATTTATCAGGCATCCTTATATTTTTCTCTTTTCTGTTTTGCTACAGTATATTAATGGGGAAGCATAAAGGTAAATCTTTTAACATAAATTATTATTTTATTATGACTTTTATGAGTGGTAATAATAAAATGAAATAAAAAAACTTCTAATTGGAACTCTTTTGAATAGTCAATTATCCTTACCACCAGTTCAGCAATTCTTTTAGTAGTTAACTACTGTCTTACTTCAATAAATTAGCTAATCAATCAGTAGGAGTACTGGCAAAAGCATCAAAATATTGTTGCTTGTAATCAAAATTTCCAACCATTTCAGTATTAATCAAATCATCATATCATAGCTCCACAAAAAAGAAAACTAGTCTAACTCGCCTTCATTAAGTATAGCTGGGGATTTCATACGATACGCAATGAACTCTGGGCTGGGCCTTGTACGTTCTATGCTCCACTATTCAGCCTATAAGGTAATGTGGTGATGAAGGTGACATGTCCGCCCCGCATTTCGATAAAGTGTAAAGTCTGTATCACATTTCTCAATCTTACTGAAAAGATAGATGTTTGCGAAAACGCGAATTGGCTTAGTAAGATTGCTACAATAATCGTTGGCCTATAATAAATATTCTTGGATTTTTGGGTTCCTAGGTTCACACTAAGTTAGGCTAGTGTTGTGACCATGAGCGAGCATGCAGCAGCAGCGGCCGGCAAAGCGTCTGAAAAAAAATTCGTTAACAGTAAGTTTGAGCGATGTTATCGCAATTGTATAATTATCCACGTTTTCGACAAATCCCTAGAATTTTCGCGTAAATTAGATTTATTAAATCATTCTACGACATAGTATAAAACAAATTCTAAATGCGGCGCGTACATATTATGTGCGATCGTCTTTACTATGCCGGGCTGCGAAATGGGTTGTAGAAAGAAGGAGAGGTGACACATGCCCAGTAAAAGAATTCCATTTAGGTACGTATAGTGCAACTACTAAGATATTTGCTGCATAAACTTTTGACTAGCTAGAAACTATGGTAATAAGTATCGTATATTAGGTATATAGGTACGATGACTGATACAATACTTACAAATTGAGATTTATAATAAATGTAATAATAAAAAAATAAAACTACCTATATCATTCACAATATCTCAACTATGGATACTTAATGTTTCTTTTTGAATCATATTAAATGAAAAATTTCCTTCTTTTGTTAATAGCCAAGCGTTTTGTTCACTTAATCTATTTGGGCATTCACTCATTAAAATGTGGGATAAAAAAAAGAATTAAGTATGCGTGAGTCACGGGCATGGTACGCACGATAGTAAAAAATAAATAAAGGAAGTCAAAACTGCCGGCCCGTCCGCGTCTCGATCGTTTTGTCATTATCATGTTGAGTCATTTCTTGACCTCGGTGGAATCCCTCTTATCTTGGTTAGGTAATCGAGAAATTAAGCATTATGTTAATCGAATGATTCACGGAGCTTGATGCAAGCATTTCATCGAATATCTTATGAATTCTACAGTATGTAGTATTTCAAAGGTCAAAGATGGCTATGCAAGCCACAAGCCACAAGGGAATTATCTTCTATATACGTTCGCTCCATCGTAAATCTCATCTTTTTTTTGGACTAGACTGTGCTTGCTGTTAAATGCATGTCACCAAGCTATCATTATATACCTACAGAAAGCTGATATTTTGTTATAAAATCATGCGTTTTAAGTTGGTATAATAAAACAAAATAAACATATCACATTCTACCATGCGTTTGACACACACATAATGAACAGTGGATAAATATTTCACCTTGCGCCTATGTCAATGTAGAGAAATGTCCAAGCCACTTGACTAAGGTATTGAGTTTGTGAAGGGCGTGTAGAATTAGAAGAAGATAAGCTTTACATGAGATTTTATAACTGTTGACAGTGCGAGTCATATGTCTGGGGGCCATTCGCCTAACGGAAATGCTTTGGAAAACGCTAACGCTTACGATTTCATTTTGTTATTTCTAGCCGCCTGAGGTTTTCAAATGCCTCGCGCTCTTTTTTTTCTTTTGCATTGGTAATAACAATATTTAATTAAATGAGCGTGAGGTATTTGGAAACCTTCGGCTGTCAGAAATAACAAAATAAAATCGAAAGCGTTAGCGTTTTCCAAAGTGCATTTCCGTTAATCGAATGGCCCCCTGGTCTTGACAACATTTTGCATGAAAATGTTTGATGGGTGGAAGTAGTACCTATAAGCGATTTAAATTGTTTGTTAAATACGCATTGCCATTGAAGAAATTCGATACTGTAGGTAGCAGTCACTGAAATTTCCTAGTAATATGAACCTGAAGCCTAAAGTCAATATTAGCCGATAAACGGTTGACGTCAACGTCTAAGGGACAACACAGACAACATAGAGATAATAATAATAGCTCAGACTTAATCACACGACAAACTATATCGTCTTTACAATTTTTTCCTTAATCTCCCATCACCCTGATGCAAAGATTGGGAGAAGAAATGTGTTTGATTTTACCTATTTCTTTGTTCACTTACATACAGTTTTACCGCGAGGACTTACAGCAAAATGTCAGACAGCATATCATTGACCATAACTCAGTGACTATCTAATCTTGCCATTATTCTTATTCGCTAAAGTAAGGATATTGGAAAACACCGCTCCTTCCGCCCTTCACCTACAACACTGTATGCAAGGCCTCATCCATTTTTAAATGCAAATAAATAGTCGCTCAGTCTGTCTGTTGTACAATAAGGATGCTGACAAACTTATTTTTCTTTGTCTATCAGGTAAATTCAGTCAGGTAAATTATCAATAAAGATTCGAAACATATTTATTCTTAATTCACATAATCAAAACATTACAGAGATATACTGCTTCGAATTGGCGCTTGCACGTTTTGCCAATACAAATTTTACTTAAAAGTGACGTCACTCCCAAACTTTCATGCGCTCTCTGTCATTTTTTGCATGATTGAAAAAAAAAGAGTCCATTAGAATATCGTCAATTCGTCATTCATATTCCTATTGCACTATTTTATGCATGACCGAGGTTTAATACTGGGTAGCATAAGAATAAGACGCGGAAAGCGACTCTGTAGTCTGAGGCGTCAGCCATATTAGAGTGGATAAGGACATCCATTCCAGCTATAGAACTGTGAATCGTATCATAAAAATAACGCTCGAGTTGCCGTCTTAAGATATAAGGTTACGAGTTGAGAATCGGAAGTGGACGCGGTAGGTTATTTGAGGACACGGTGATGCATCATGGAGAGATCCGCATGTTTCTCGGAATTGCTCGGCCGGTTGACCAACGGCGCCTGTGTTACGCTACAAGCGTTGTGTAATCGATGCCTCAACGAATTCAAATCGAACAATCCATTGAAAGAGTTTCACGACAATGGTCAAGACTAAAGTCTTATTAGTTAAAAACGGAAATACGTTCAATTTATAAATACGGACACACATATTTGAAAAGTGTGATCGTCTCCTGTATAGCAGCAGCGCCTCGACGTTTAATTGCGATAATTAATATGTGACTATGTACTGTATGTATTGTACTTGAACTAAATAGTATTTATTATGGAGTAGTCTCCTATTTAGCTGTAGACGTCAGCATTATATGTAAACTATTCATGAAAACTTAAATTAG